GATCAGAGACTTGGCGCCGCGTCATGAAGAGTGCCTCAAGCTAACTACAGACTCTCATCAACAGCTGTCTTCGCTCAGTATTTCGCTCAATATCAGATAGCTGGCCACAAAAGATCAGCAACAGGGATCTCTAGCAGTGAGCGAACCAACGAGGAACTGATTGTGTAACAAACATGCAGGAGGAAATGGAGTTGGATTGGCCATACTCTGAGAAAACAAACCATCAAGTAACATCAAACGTCAGGCCATCGCTCGAGTGGAACCCTAATGGAAAGCGGCGAGTTGGTAGTTAGTGCGAGGATGACATGGAGGAGGAGGTGATGCGAAGAGGAGATGAAAGCATGTGGTCAGGCGTGGAGCCAGGTGAAAAAGTTGGTGGAGAACCGAACGCAATGGATAAGTGCGGCTGAAGCCCTATGTTCCTCTAGGAACTAAAGGAAATATAAATAATCATAATATTCAAATTCGCTAGCTTAATGGCAACTGTAGAAAAACTACCAAATGATATCATCTCTCAGTATTTGTCTTCTAAACACCTTATTTAGATAATTTTGTTTGAAATATTTAATGTGCCAAATTATTTCAGTAGATTTCGACAAAATGTACATTTAGAATAATTACTTCGATGGCAATTCGTCCGTGCATTGGTAAACAAAACGAAAAACATCGGCTGGAATGATTAGTTTCACTTGAATAAATTACGGTGATTATTAATTATTCGCTTCATACTGAAGATCAAATGGCCAGCCGACCAGAAAGAATTAGCAGCAAGAAACTCTAGCAGCCAACCAACGAAGAGCCGATTTCTCAATAAATATGCAGAAGAAAACGAATATAGATTGGGCATCTACTGAAAACTCTGTCGAATGACAACGTGCACCAGGCCATAGCTCGAGTGGAAGCCAAATGGGAAACGACGGGTAGGTCGTCGGTGAGAAGGTAACGAGGAGGAAATGGTATAAGGAGATGAGAGATTATGGACAATCATGGGCCCAGCTAAAGTGGACAGTAGAAAATAGAAGAAAGTGGAGGTATGTTGTTAAAGCCCTATGTTCCACTCGGAACCGAAGGGAACAATAATACAATAATAATATACTGACTAGAAAAGTTTCATTTAATTAGAAGTATGAACATGCGAAAAAATCACTGTATCAAAGTGCCATTTATTATTACTTTGAAAAGAATTATTGCAGTGATGTTTAAAAGGTGACAAATGCTCTTCCGTTTCACGTTTAGTGGTCGCGTCTTGAAGAAACACCTACTTGATGGATAAGATCGAAATATTCATTTAAATTGAAGAATTAACAAAGAAAAGATTGCTTCTGACCATTGGAACGGCGAAATGAGCTAGTTTCACCCCATTTTTCGTGTACACTGAGCTTGCTTTTTATGTCAAAGTACGAAGTTAGTTTTAATTTCATACGTGAAGATCAAGGGAGAGAATACCTTCTTCAGGTTTCAGTTTACTACTTTTGTGAGTAACTTTTTTCAGATGAAATGGTCAGATTGACAGACTATATTTTAAATTGTCACTCTTATTTCAAGACTGTATCTTAAGCTCAAAATCAGACGATACAAAAGAAGGATAAGTCTAATGGTGAAGTTGCCTAACTCAAATGTATTTCGGTGACAAATTCATAATATGATAAACGTATTTCTCTGTGAACTCCGGTAGTTGAATATGAGACTGTTAAAACTGCCACTGCACCATGTGTTTTGACCAAGTAGTTCTACAGTCGTTGAGTGCCGGATGAAAAGTAAACATATGTGAAAATTTACATTTGTATAAATTTCAGAGAAATCGAAATAAATAATCACAACGTCTTGTTTTGCGAACTGCCCCTAACTTCTCTTGGGGAATGATCAAAATTAAAATATTGAATTCCATTTTGCTGTGAACGTATGCATGTTTCCGCTGAATTCCACTTCGGCGATCTAAAGTGATGCATTATTAAAACCGAATTAATCACTTCCAAGATTCACAGCTGAAGTATAACCTTATCATGGTTTCCATCAAAAACCCAAAATATGTGCTCTGCTTGACACTTTAACTTGTAGTCAAGAAAGCGAGCGATGTAGCGATATGGTGTGTATTAATGATTGATTTGAGCAGGTGGAAACCACTCACACTAACCAGTACTGATTGCTAGACCAATCTACACAGTTCCAGCACTGTAAGCAATTTCACTCTTCTAAGAATGGCCTCATCAGCGGTGTACCAGACAGACTCAGACCACATCAAGTGAAAACATCCAAATTCTGGTTAGCCACATTAGCCAGCTGCAGAAGAAACTGAGCAGGCAGGACTTTAAGCGAAATTCCAGAAGACAAAGGTAATGAAGGTACCTAACCAACAACGGAAACGTCAGTCACTATCAACCGGAGAGATTTGAAGGAAGTCAATTCTTCCACTTACCTGGACGGCATTGTTTCAAATACAGTCGAAATGAATGAAGTCAAGATAGACTTTCATTCTTCTGTAATCAGTGTTGAAATCTGCTGCATTCAGCACAAAGAAGGAGATTTAGACCTTCAATACTACCGTCAAGTCAGTCAGTGCCTCTATATGGTCCAGAGAGTTGGCGTGTCACCAAAGGCATTTCGAAGAAACTTCAGACTCTTAATAATAGCTACCTGAGCTGGTTAGATGCTGAAGATCAGGTCGCCAGCCAGAAAGGATTAGCATCAAAGGGCTCTAGTAACAAATCAACCTTGATATGATTATGAGCAATAGTTTGTGCTCAAAACGTCATCAGTAAATATTATTGTATAACACTGTGAGACTTTATCAAAATAAGCTTTACCCATAATGGAATTATACTCTATCACAGTGCACAAGTTCTATTCTTATATCGAATCAACCAAGAACCTACTGTCTAAATGTTATGCCGACGGAAAGTGAGACGGTTATGATAAACAATGAAGGGACGGCTGAGTGACAACACACCCGATGCCGTCGAAGGGAACCCGATTAAGAAAACAACAAGTTGGGCTTCCAAGAGTGAAATGGAGGGGATCATGTGAAGACAAAATAAAAGCCTATCGACAATCGTAGAAACAGCTGGATAGGACTTCAGATGTTAAAGTGAAATGGAAATTCGCTGCTGAAATCCTATGTTCCACTCACAACTGAGGGGAATAATAATACCGGTAATAATACATGAGACAACTGGTGGTGCATTCCCCCAAATTCTTCTCTTCAAATTATATTGTTCAAGGTGCGAAATCACCGCGGTCTCTTTTAAAAATCCAAAATATCAGGACAGTAATGTGATGTGAGTGGTTTTCAGCTACTCAAATGAGTCAGCAGTATATACCATCTTGGATAGTGGATTCTTGATTTCTTCCTGTTTCGCTTCTTTTGCTTGATTCAGCTTCAGTTATCCACCCGATTGAAAGAGCCATCGCTACACTTTCTTTGACTTCCGATTCAAGACGTAGTTAAAGGTATGTCATTTATTCTTTTTGATATGTAATTCTATGAAGCTTCCTGTATGTTTTGCTTTTTTTGTTTAATTTTAAACAAAAATAATTCTTCTTTAAGTATGATTGGTTTGATTAGTTCATTTAATCTTTTAAACTGTAAATATATGATTTTCAGAATTTTGCTTTGGTGTTTTTAGCTTCTTGCCTCCAGACTGCTCGTAAACTTTCAAAATTTATAATTGAACAATGTTAATATGATTCCTGGAGACATCCTCTTAAGTACGAGGCTGTTCATACTTTTACTTCGATTTATCATATGTATGAAAATCCACACTCATTAATATAGTGAAATTAATCAACACAGCGTCATAGAAGTGCACTTTGTTTTGTTCGCTTGCTTATTTGCCGTTCATTTCTCATTCAAATCCTATTCGCGTCAGTTGTTAAGCTGGTTTTTTGCCAAAATCTGTTATTCCCGTAATTTAAAAAGCACTTTGCTCTTCCGAAAACAAATCCATGACTCAAAAGTTAATGTTAAGAAAATGATATTTCAGAACCTTCCTACCACAAGAAATTTAAAATGCAATGGTCATCTAATCTTTACACATTTTAAACTCACATATCGTAGTAACAAATGACATTCAGTTGTCCAGTCCTACTGGAAAGTTATCTCTATTTGCCTGTTTATTATTATATACCAGTTAATTACGACTTAGTATATGGGTGTAACTGATGCTTATTCCGTAACTTATCCAATAGTTAATCAGAATCTCTTGTATGCAAGCCGGCTACAACAACCAGTCTTCCATACCCCAAAGAATATATAGTTTTTTCAGATAACATGAAAATCAAGTGGATGAAGGACTTTTGCCTGATTTTTGTAGTCTTGACATACTGAAAAGTATTACTCTATGGGGTTCTGCCTTTCTGAATTAAACATAATAAATCAACTAGTATAACTTTTATCTTTATAAGTAATTATTTTTTCCCGAAGAGTCCCAAACTAGGACGAAAGAGCTGTCTAGTACCCCTAGCCGGCTTTCCAATGGTTCTCTAACCAATGTCAACTCATGATGAACACCTGTAACCAATCAACCAAATCCCTACAAACCAACACTTGAATGTCGTGATTCGTTTAAATGTATATTGTTAATTCAAAAACTATCGTCAATGTGACTGCCATTATATGTAGATATCTTTGCTCTGTAGGAAAATAAAGAAGTATTTTGAGTAAAAATTCGTCGAAGATAGTCCACCCTTTTACTATTAACGAATGTTTATCTTTCACAATATACACAGGAATATATTGGATACGATAATTCACATGGAATACACATGTGACTGGCCATATTATATACATTTATATATGCATATATATATATGCACATAAATACTGATTGAATTAAAGTTAACAATCACATCATTTATATGTATTAAATGTTCGACAGACAAGTGATATACACAATTCAAAAAAAAATAAATAAACTGAAGTTACATACCTTCCCTAGAAAGAACCATTCCATTGATTTTTCTTAATTACTGTGAGATCTCCAGTGAAGTCACTGCACAACACTATGCCAAGATGCTGTAGTATATTCAGTTCAAAGAATGGATTTTTGATGATATTAGCTACATTACTCATTCCATTGTATATTTCTTTAGAATTGTGCTTCTTCATATCTGATCAGTATGTCTTTTACAGGTGAGTTTTTTTAATCAATTTTATGTATCTTTGCCTTTAAAATAAAAAAAGCTTTTTGCAATTGGTAGTTTGTATTTAAGTACTATTTATTAATCCAACACCAATAAAATGTTTTGAGTACATTAGATACGGATTAAATGTTTTGTTAAATAGCTTTCAGACTCACCAATTTTTAACCCATTCAAAAATGTATGGAAAGAACAATGGGGTTTTCACCCCACTCATTAGTGTTTTCGTAGAAATGGGCTATCTGATTTCAATAAATTTAGCCTGGAACATTTAGATTTCCTCTTATTTCATCTACAACAAAACTTATTGTTCATGTTAATTTAATTTAATAAAGTGATTTTTAGTTTTTCCACTTATAAGAAAGAATTTATCAGTAAGTAGTCATGATGGAGTTTTAGTTGCATCACCAGTTAATTAATCTCAAGATTGTTTTGAAATATAGAAGTCACAGAACAGTCACTGCATTCTAAGTCCGCATTTCTGGGTATTGAATCAACAAACACCATCCCTTACTACATTCCACGTCCACATATCATACCTTGATTTATTGTAAATTCTAATGTCCAGAGTACTACGTTTTTCACTCCTTCAATTCTCAGTGGAACATAAGACTTAGAGATATTGAAGTTTCAGTAGAGATGGTTTTGTTTTTGAAGGTTTGGCATCGTTAGCTTCAAGGTAAACTTCTCCTCTTTTCTCGGACTTACTGTCAGCTGGTAAACTAGATGAAGCTGGGAATTAAGCCCTAGCCAAATGTGTAGCTGGCCGGTAATTCTACTGTTAAGCCACTAACGTATCCAACTTACTTCTAAGAGCTAATATTTAGCGTACTCATTCTGAACAGTGAATATTTGCTTGAATATAGTTGAAAAAACCATCAAAAACTTCGGGCTATCTACGTTACTTCATCCATGACGTAGAGAATGTTCACTTCTCCGGAGTAAAAACACTAAGACAAATATACATTTCCTGCACCGACTAGTTTTCAAATCAGTTATTAATTAAAATGATTTTCGCATACTGGTTATCTTCGTAATATCTATAGAATGTCATGCCTAGCATAATCAATATTTTCATTTTCACTAAATTTTGCATAACCAATCATGAAGTAAATATTTACAGTAGTTAAGGTGAATTATAGTCAGCTCAATAGTGTGGGAAAAGTTCAGTTTTGATTAAAAATACTTGATATATTTAGTGAATGATTCCGAATTTATCTCAGTTCATAGACGAAACAAAAACAACAACAACATTGCAAGTTGTTCCAAAATCCAGTTAAAAAGCACAAATAATACCAGGCGAACTGTTTGAAGTTCAGAAGATAAATGAACCTAACCTTTTGGAACATCATGAATTCAACTGTGCAAATTGTAATGTGAATAGCCTTCATAAAATCAATATGAAAGAACTGTTAGCAGTTTTGTTTACTTTGTTAAAGAAATCAAATTTTGATAGTTCGGTGTTAGTTGTGATCAATACACTTACTAGAAAACTTTATCTATTCCTCCCAAAATGTTAGGCTGAGAAATTGTCAGAAATCATAAAAACAGTAAAATGGACCACGAAAACATGGTTTCTAAACCATAACTTTCTTGCTTTGCGACTTATGCTATCGGTTTTGAAGGTACCCCATCATTTAAGTACTGTTCACTAACCAGATGCAGGTAGTACAAACATTACGATACTATTTCGTTCTCTTGGAGTTAAGTCATAGACGGTGTAGTCAGATTCTTTAACCTGAAAGATGAGAAGAGCGTAAGTGAAAACTCTGAAACTATATAATAATATGTTTGGCATGTATATCTCTCACGGAGAAAATCAAGCCCGAGGGAGAAAAAGGTGCTCGGTAAAGGATTAAAATTCAATGTGTCACTTAATGAGCTAAAGTCTGAGTATTTCATTCCTAACTTAGAGATAACAGGGGTCGGTGGCGCTGCGGTAGAATGCTCGTCAACCATGCATGTGGTCCGCGGTGCGATCCCCGGCCACCGACGCACTCCTCCGCCTCGCTAAGCCAGTAATAAGACTGGTAAAGAGGGAAGGTTGGGCATGAGGCTAGCAACCCCATCCTGTAAAAATGAACACCAGTGCTATCGAAACTTCAAGCCTCTAGCTGGAAGCCCTATGTTCCACTGGGAATGTACAGGAATGAAAAAAAATAGAGATAGCATTAAATTCAATGGATAAGACAACAGCTGAAAAGCTTCGAGCACAATGTGAATTAGAATTGAAACAGTAGAACAAAGAGAAGCAAAACCTAACGAAATCAGAGAGACTAACTCTGGTGCATCTACAAACTGATAAGAGCATAGTCGTTTCGAAGGCCGATAACAGTAACGCTACCGTAGTTATGGATAAATCCAACTACATCAGGAAAGTCACTGAACATTTTACAACAGGTCCATATAGGGAAATTAAGAAGTCTGTAGATACAGTAATGAAATCCACAGTGGATTTAGTACATGGGATGAAGCCATCACTTGGAGAGTCTAAATGATTTACTGTCAACTTACCCATTATTTTGTAAAGACAGGCTTAATTAGATGTTTGACCAACCAAGCGGAAACTCTAAGTAGTACATCAGAACACTTAAATAATGAAATATCATAGATGGGTTAATCATTGATGCTAAATAACGATTCCATAAAATCCATTATAAAGTTCAAAAACGCCTGAAATAAAGGCGAAAATGGCAGCGGAACTATTCACGATAACATAAATGAGACAAAACTTAGGGGAAGTACCTTACATTAGATTACTAATAGATCAGGGTGGGCATTTAAACTTAAAAATCCATTCAGAGACAAGCTTTGTAGACTAAAACACAATTAGACAAAATAATTTAATTCACGAAATACCTTGTAATGAATATGAGGTCAACTACATTGGTCACAGCAGTAGATCAGGGTCAGTCATGTTATCGGAACAGAGGAATTTGGCTAAGTGTAGAATGTTTAACCAAATGAAGATGAGTGGCTTAGAGAAAAACTGGAGAATCGCAATACATGCACTCACATACAATCACATAGTGTGGTGGAACACAGCTACAGTTCTAAAAAGTGATATAGTTAGGTGGAGGATATATTGATCACTGGATCTTTGTTCATTGAATCCATACCAAACACGTGTTATAGGCAATAACTCAATCAAAATGCGAGAGGTGTGGGAAAAGAATACCACCAATAAAATAAAAAGATAAGAAATAATTAGAATTACTTAAACGAAATTGGAAAGTTACATTAGTGCCTTGATATAATTATGAGCAATAAATTGTGCTCAAAACGTCATCACTCTATCACTGTGTATTTTTATCAAGTAAAACTGATCAATGAAAGGATCATTCTCCACCACAGTACAAGAATAGCATGATTATTTCATTGAGGCATACATAAAATCTTTTGAAGATAAAACATTTATAGGCGTCATAGATTGCGCGAAGTATAGAATTTAAAATGATGATAAATTTCTACCTTTTTTCAGTAAAAAAAACACACTGAATAAACTGTTTTCAATAGTTTTATCTGAGGATAAAAGGTTCTGTGTTACAACTTTATGATTAAGACAATAAATGTAGTTCACATGTGTATTATTAGCCTTTTTCTCAACAACAGCTGACTACGAGACATAAGTGCCCCTTAAACTTCAAACCACAATATGCAGTTAACTTCATCTAGTATGATATTGGCAGTACACAAATATTCAGTCGACACATTCAGAACAAGGTTGGGTTCCCGTTTTGCCACAAATCTCTAGAATATAATGCAGTGAATAACGCAGTTTCACCGAGTGACGTATAACCAACAAACTGCTAGGCAATCAGAAGCAGGTCTCCCAAACTGCTGTCAGTTATCTTATAGCTGAAATGAAAGTAATTTCCGAAAAACCACAAACCGACCGGGGAAATACACTCCATTCCAACCAACTCCTGATCATCTGCTCTGCATTAATATTTGGATTTTCACATCAAAATTGTACTAATCATGTGGTTATTTTACTCCATAAGAATTATCAATAATAAAATAATACATTAAAAGTCATCAAAACAATTAATTGGGCGATGTTATCGACAAGATATCTAAGTTTCCAGGGTGAGGGAAAATAATCACCAAATTCAAGCAAGACAGGTTAATTTTCAGAGGTTAGCGACAAGTTATTACATAATAAAGAAATTTGTAAAGTTGGTTGGAGGATTTCATCATGAGCTGACATCCCTTAGAGAATTATTGGAAAACCTGGAATTACTGGACAGCTGTTTTGTCTTAGTTTGGGACTCTTCAGAATTAGCCCTACATTTTCCAATAGTTCTCTAACTGATGTCAGCTCATGATGAAGTCCTCCAACCAATCAAACAAAATCCCTACAAAAACCAATACTTGAAAACGTTTAAAATACTGATGGCTAAGAAGAACAGAATGACTCAGTGGAACCACATAAGATACAGACAAACTAATCGAAATAGCTAGAGTCGTCATCATAATAAAATGAAAGAAAGTGGTAAGATAGTTAAAAGAAGTGAGGAAAATCATTTATAGCACTTAATGCATATTATGTAGTTGGTCACGGCAAAGAAAGGGAATGCACAAATTTATCTTGAGCACTCCGAATCGGCTTGTTCAGGTGATTACCGATTGCCTCTTCTGTGTGTAATAGTGGTACTAGTAGAGTATACGAAAGGTTAGGTCAAATATGATTAATTGCATTAAAAGCTTTGTCAGAGTCCTCATAAACATTTAGTCAACTAAATACTAACCCATTTCATTAAAACTGGACGTCACGATGCCACTAACAAGGACTTTTACCATTGAGTCGTCGTATTAGCAGCTTAACACAAATGTGACAAATGGTTACGTTGTTAGCAATTAAGAATAGAAAGCACATGTCTAGCAGATTTTTATATGACAACACCGATTGACAAATCCACCTTTGTACAAATTACCATAAGACTGATGAATATCTCTGTTCTTAACAGATTCAGGCAATTAAAACGCGAAAACAGAAAACCTGTGATACTTGAGTAAAGCACAGATTTGAGCACGCATTCACTAATAATTGATTAGCCTAACGATTATTCTAAACATCATGGTATAATTTTAAGCGTCATTGTGACACGTAAGAAATCAAGGCAAGTGATTCAGCGAGGAGACTGTTTTCAAAGAATTTTTTATGAATTGGCTAGAATCGTATGTATATAGTTTTCAAGGTATTATATCTAGTGTGGGAATTAAATCAAAGGTGTGAATACGTGAAATAGTAATATGAAATGCAATTAAAATATTTCGGTTCAGAATCATAGTGAAATGTCATGTGGTAAAACAATTAATGTTACATACAGAGCAATTCATAGGATGTATAGGTGTTGGAAAGGATGTAAAATTTTAGGATTAGTTGGTAGATTGAATAAAAATCAAAATGTTATGTAACACTGTGTGAAATTTGATAACATCGAATTTAATGTTGTAATACAAAACTGATTAAATATGACAAACAGGACTAGTGAATCAATACCGGGGACAACGCAAAATAAGGATCATATTAGTAACAATTGGTGTAATCTCCGAAGAGTATACTTACTGAAATGACTAAACGAAAAATGGGATCATCCTACTTTAGCATTGAGGGACTAAGACCGTGAAAATTTTACACATCCTTCTAGCATCTATACATCCTGTGAATTCTCGTATATATTAGATTAATTGTTTCGCCACTTGACACTTAATAATGATTATAATTACAAAAATTCTAATTACATTTCATAGTAGTAGTATTTTAAGTATTTTTATTGTCATGGAGTCAAATTGTCGGAGACAATATTACCAACGCCCCATAATAGTAGGCTATTTGGAATGAATCTCAAAGAGACTTGTGCTATGCGTGTTCTAGCAAACTGCATGGTCAAAATAAATAACAGTTAGAAAGTAATTAGGTTACTGAAATCCTAATAGTTTACACACAATGATAAGTTTTGTTATTGGTAATATTTCGAACAAAATTACTGCCCGTGTTCACACCAGTGTTGGACTCAATAAAATTCATTATGGAAGTAGAGAATGAAATTGGGGAACTGCCTATGTTAGATTGCAAAATACAAAGAATAACAGATGGCAGCATTAAAACGACGCTATATAGAAAAACCACACACTCTGGAAGATTCCTCGATTATCACTCAGCTCATCCACTCACGGTGAAACGAGGATTAATACAAGGTCTTGCAGATAGAATACGTAGACTTACAACAACGCCAGAGGACCAGTGTAAAGAAATAAACGTCCTATTCAAGATGCTACTCGAAAACAACTACTCAAAAGAATCTATCAAAGATAAGAGAAAAAAGAGGGTAAAACCGGAGAATAACAAGATAGAAGAATGCAAAAAAACAGTCACAATACCATATAAAAATGGTACATCAGAGGCAATTCAAAGAAACCTCAAAAGTATCGGCATTCACACAACTTTTAAACCGACAAATCTAATCAAAAATAAAATAAATCAACTGAAAGATCCCATAAAAATGATGGATAAAAACAACTTGATTTACAAAATATCTTGTGCTGACTGTCCGACTAAATATGTGGGGCAAACGTCCAGATCACTCAAAATAAGAGTGAATGAACATAAACGCCTAACCAAAGGTCAACCAACAGGAACAGAAGCCTACAAAAATCTTGAAAAAAATTCATCGATAGCTGCACATGCATGGGACAAAAACCACAATATCGATTGGGACAACGTGTGTATTCTAAAAACTAACATGAACAAATGGAAAGAAAGACTTATAACAGAATCGATATTCATTAAAGTCACACCGGATACATGTAACAAGGGTGACTCAGTACAACTATCAACAACTTGGAATATAATTCTGGATACAAAAACATGAATGAACTTGGAATACAACTGAAATACAAAAAATAATATGAATGGGCAAAAATAATGAACTATATATATGAGTACAAATCATAAATGTGTGAATCAAACAATTCCAACAGTGGTGTGAACACGGGCAGTAATTTTGCTCGAAATATTACCAATAACAAAACTTATCATTGTGTGTAAACTATTAAAATATAATTATACTTTATTTGATCTAATCGACAATGCTCAAACGTTTTACTGATATTAATTAGAATAAGGCATTAAGAAGACAAATTTCGCGAGATGATATCATTTCGTAGTTTCTTTACAACCGCTTTACAACTAACATGGTTAACAATAATAAAATAAAGTTCATGACAATTACTCAGTTAAATAAAAACAAAAGTACATACTAATGACCATACTAATGATATTAATTACTGAAATCCATTTGTAAACGACTGTGGTGAGAACATGCATAATGAAAATACGGTAAACGAATTCCTAGAGGTAAAGTAATTAAGTACAGTTGTCGCAATACAAGCACAGAGTAAATAACATCGTATCAGTTAAAGTAGTGAAATTAATCTGTTGAATTTCTGCACTGTCTTGCAAGTCATGTCTTGATACAGAAAAACTACATCTTATTCCTATTTTAGATGTACAGTAGATGAAGGTTTACTATATGAATACAAGGATGGAAAGTTTGCGCTGAATGAAGTGTAAGTCTAGTTTTTTTTCCCTTCAATGTTTTTCACAGAAGTTCTAAAGCCTTTAAGCAAACTGATTTTTACAACACGCTTTAACCTACAGAACAAAAATATACAAACATTGCGGTTATGAAGTTATCTTTCTTTAGAATGGTGTATTTCTGGATCTTTTTCATTTTAGATTTATCTCAGTTAGTTTTCAGTCTTCGCATAACTTGAAAAGAAGGTTGTGTTACGCAGCCTCTTTAAAAGACCCCTGAGAAAGGGATATATGTAGTCAGATAGAAACGTTGTTTATTATCCATCTGTGTTCTGCTTCAAGATTCCAATAATTCACTTACTGCTGTATGTAAATACACATGTATTATTCGACAACTTAATGGGCATGAAACAGGCCAAATTAAATGTAGAACATTTTTTGACCAACGAGTTAACCAACAAGCTTATGTACAAGCTATTATAAAGGAAATCGTTGAAGTTAGCCAGTTGGAGGAAATAAGTGAACTGTCGTACAAGTAAGTTTCAGGCGTATGTGCATTTATCATTTAGGTGTGAATACAGCCACAAAGGAACCGATGTCCCTTCAAAATTTCGAAACCGTTTCAAGCAATTCTGCAGTCAGAGACGTAACTTATAGTCTATTTTGCGTAACCATTGACCTTCTATTGGCTTGTGATGAATACAATGATTAAATATTGGACCACCGTCATTATTTTAAGTAAATGAGGATTTTTCTTAGACTGTGACATACAGAAACTATTTATTTCTCCAGAACGCGTATTGTGACCTCAGATTTAATCATTTATTTGGCAGAAGGTAAAGGAGCCTCTATTGGACTAATGAGATAGATGACAATGATTTCAGAACGTTTGTTTGACGCTTTTTTTGATCTTTAAAAGTTTCATATAACGAGATGAGACATGGTAGGCCGTGTTCCTAGTCTTGAAACATCACGTTTTGTTTCACAAAGCATTTGAATCATTAATGCTGGACTTTGTATTCTAAGAATAGGCATTCTTCTGCTTCCATTCGCAGAGTATGCAGGCCAAGAAACGTAATTCTATTCAATACTGTAAAACAGAATTAGAGAATACTAGCATTATACATTTGGTGAAATTGCGTCATCTTACAATTCGAGTCATACTTCGTGCTACATTGGAAATAATAATATAGAAAATGATGTTTACGAAATTCCTGAATAATCATTGTTATGCAAACCACTTACAATAAAAAAGTGGGGTTATGTTGAAAAAACAGTTAGATGTCACGATGACTGGAAAAAATCTTTAACAGAATAAATAAATCTGAGTCAAGAAAAAATCTAATAGTGCACTGAAAAGATTCTTTCTAGCATCCAAGGTGATTTCGTTTTATAATAGACAGTGCCAAATTACTCAAAAAAAGGGTAGACAAATATCCTGCATATGTCAAATTTGATTTCATTTACCAATTTATTTTACCCAAAAAAGGAACTATAAAAGGTAATGTGCTGGGTTTTCTAACTGTATCCCAAATAGTCTGCGTCTGTCAAATAGGACGATATTTAAAGGTGCAATCGCAAGACACATGACTGACACAAAACATGAAGTCAGCGTTATTCAGACTTTTATGATAGTCAGTGTACACAGAAAAACTTTGTAGATGCTTTTTGAAGAAGGCATTACTAATGAAAAATTAAAAATTAATCTCTGCATGCATAAAGACAGTTCGATTAACCTCACCCTCCCGAGTATGTCGGAATGACATACTTTTCGTTTTGTAGCTTAAAGAAAAGACTATTATGTTGATGGTGTTAAATATTGATGCTTGATTGTAGTATATATATATATATAATGTGAACTAGAAAAGTATTTCTTTCCATAAGTTTTATCTATATGGCTTGTGAACCTTCAGTTTACACTATTCAGCCTAACATATATTCCACACCTCTTCTTCTATGCACAGTAAATTTTACCAAGTTTAAGTTTGTAGGGATCTTATTGGTGTCTTTAGAGGCTGAGGGTGTTGAAATTCACGGATAGTACGATGGATACTAACACAAGATCTTATATTCACGACTCCTATTGTATTTGTTCATAGCAGATCAAAGACAAAGCAAAAAACCAAACTGATCGTCGAAAATATGAAGTATATTTCGAGACCAAAGTCGTAGTGCAAGGATGATTGCTTAACTAGCTAGGAATCGGGAACGAACAACCAAATGTGACACGACGGTGCGCCAAATGGCGTGTATGCTTGACTGTAAGCCTTCAGCTAAACAAGTTGACTTAAACAGTAAGGGCCAGCATCCAATTTTGAGTGATGAATGCTGTGGCTAATAATTCTGGGGAATTATCTACCGCTATATGTCAAATTTAATCACGGATCGATATCAGTTGGAGAACCGCTGGCCACGGGAGGTTATTGGACTGCTGTTTCGTCCTTTGTTCTGGACTTATGCGCCCATGGTCCCACCAGGGATTGAACCCAGGGCCCTCAGGTTACGAGGAAAGCTCGTTAAACACTTAGCCATTGGGTTAGAATCCAATGGCATATTAATTCATATATACTCATTATATCACCCTTTTCATAGCGAGAATAACAAGATTTGCGACAAGAAATAAGTGTATTTACTTTTGAGACTTCGATTCAGCTTCAAACAGCCTAAAATATGTATAGCGTTAATGAAATAAGAAAATCCTTTTTTGTTGACCAAGAACTAGACATGTAAATCAAAGAAATTTCGGTAGATAGCTTACAACAAAACAGTATTTATTAGCAAAATACACAAGGAAAATGTTTTAATAAATTACCAGGAAGCGCATAGAATAAATGTGAAATTCAAAAATTCAGTTAAGATTGGTGGATACCAATATTGGACAACATAATACACAGTTGTGTGTGTTACTCACTGTGTCCTTTCATTTACGAAATTTGAGTTGAAGTAACTTGATGGTAACTGACTCGTCAAAACGAAGTAAAGTTGGATGTTTTTGTCTGTCGATAATGGTAAAGGCAGTTGGAATATCGCCATTTGTGTTCCTGTTCGGTTAAATGTCGGTTAACTGTACCAGTAAAATACTGGAAACGACCGAGTCTTAAGCAGTTGGAAATATTTCCTGTGAATCCAATAGGTGATCATCTTTCTGTCATTCCAGTTTACCTGTTTTAAGACGCATACGTGAATTTTGTAAACATAGTTGGAGGTGACTTCTTACATGTATATGTTAGGTTTTGATAAATCGATAAGGAAAGTAGTGTGACAAACATGAAGTAGTTTAGTTACCGAAACACTCTTAACAAAAGCAGCTCTAGTAAATATCCAAACCATAAATGTCGCTAATTTTCTGTAATAACTGTGAATTTTTGCTTATTTGTTGTGACATTTAATTTTCTTTGGAATTTTAACTGGATGAAGGCAGGCTTCCATTTGACTGTGGTGACGTTCTTTCCATTTTCTATAAATTTCTTAGGATACTTGTTTTCTTGGACCACGGTGGGTTGATATTAAGACAATAATATATCGTTTTTAATTTCATAGTTTAAAGATGGGCATCTATTTGTATTGTACTGTCAGTAGTATATGTACTTTGTCTTCTTCAGGGTAACAAGCGTGTTACTATTCAGTCCTACTAATATATAGTAGTTCACAAATAAACAATATAACTACTGAATGCTTACTCTTGCTTTTACTTTATTTCATCTTAGCAATAAAACAGATGAAACACTACTAAAGCAAGGACAACGTAGAGCAGCTTGGATTGGCGCCTGCAATCATTCAGTTAGACTGATGTTGGGTCTGTTAACAACGATGGTAATGGGCTATATTTCTGATCGTTTTGGCCGTCGTATTGCTCTGGGAACGATGATAGTTGGAGAAGCATTACAAATAATTGCTTTAAGTACGCGCTAAGAAGTCTTCATTTTTTCAAGCAACAATTAATGCATTAAAGCTCCTCTTTTGATTATCTGAATTCCATTGTGTTAATACCTTAAATGGTTCCTTTTATAAAAAACCTATCATTACTATTCATCCTCTGAGTTCCGAGTGGAACATAGAGCTTCTGAAACATATTCTCACTGCACTTGGTCCCCTCTAATCGTTTTCAGCCGTCTCCACAGTTGTTCAGAAGCTTTCATTTCTTTTTCACATGATCTCCTCCAAGTCATTTCCGACGCCTGATGGCCTGCAAAGTATGTGATTTCACCTAAATACCTCCTCAGAGTATGTACAACCCATCTTCATTTACTCCTACATATTTTCTGGATGATAGGTTATCTGCTGATTCGCCCAACTCCCAGAGTTCCTTGTTATTTGCCTATCCTTCTTAGCCAGCTCTTTGATTTTCACTACTGTTAAAGGCAGTTTTTGATAATAATCCGAGGTATCCTTCTGGAAACACCTTAAGTGATGTGCTTGCCAAGTATGTGAGTCACTAACCTGACATTTGTGTTGCTCTTATTCATTCTGATGAATGTCGTAGATGTATACAATGGTTTCAGAGCAATGAAGTTATATTTGAGAGTGGTAACATAATGGGCAAATCCTGGTTAAACAGTCGTCACGATATCGAAATATTGCCTGAATGATGGTTAGCTTGGAAAAATGCTGTTTAAATCATAGGAAGATATTGGCCAAACTCCAATCACACAATGGCTAAAAGTGGAAGAAATTATGTCGTATAACCAAAATTTGCATATTTGTATGACTATTGGCCATGCCCATTATTCACCACTTTTCTACCATTTTCGTCAGTTTGGGTTCATCCCCACTGTCTGGTCCGTGCTCACCTGAAGCCTTATCTTCACCACGTTTCCTATTAATTTGTTGGCATTCACTGGTAAACCTGTGACTTAGTGTGACATGAAACACACATTATTCGCAAAATCCAGACCTCCAGGGGTCTTTTTGTCAGTGCAATAAACACCTTATTCCACTCTACCATAATGGTCATAGTAGACACCTTTTTTCTTACTCTTGCATTCAATTCAGAAGCTTTACTGAGCTTTCCGTTTTGAATCACTTTGACTTGCCGATTAATGAGGTTTATAAACGTTTGTTGCATTGTGTTGAAGCAGTTGACAAATTACTTCTTGGTCAACGCTGTTGTAGGCATTTTCAGAGTCGACGAAGTTGACACAGAGTCGACTGCCATTGTAGGCTCTCTCCGATGATGATGCGGAGTATAGCAGCCCAACTGGCTCATCATTTTCGTTTCTGAAATCTAGCTTGTTACATGTGAAGTCTTTCATGGGTGAGGTAGCTTAATATTTAGCTTGGAGTTGACATGAGCAAAATATTGCTCGTTAATCATAAATTTTCAAAATAATATTGCATCCGGAAGAGTAAACTACCAGTTACTATGCGGTGATATTTGTTCTAGCTCAACTGATTTGAAAGTAAGACAAATTATCTTCGACTCAGTCAATGCTATTATTCTTGTCTTCCATTTATTTAGTTGGATTTGATTTCATGTAACCAATATCAAAGCCTGGAGATGATGACGAATTTATTTTACGACTCTTTTGCAGAAATACATATATTTTTGCACCAAAGTATCTTATAGATGTATTTAAGATCTTCATAAATAATATATAAATAATAACACAAGCATTTATTGTCTGATAATAATCTCGTTTAGGCAAAAGTCATGTCAATGTATTCTGAAATAAAAAAGTTGGTGTCTAAACACCTAATTAGTAATTGGGAAGATACCACAACCGGAAAGTGAGAGTAGCCAAGACTGCATTCCATTTTGGTGGTTTAACAGGCAGCCATAGTTCAATTCCTGGCCGACGTACTCTCAGACTTTAACTTGTTTTATTAGACGGTATTAAGCCCAGAAAAGAAGGAAGATTAGGCATGGAACTAGCGACCCAACCGTGCAAAAGCAGCACCGCCGTTGCTAAAATATCCACTCGGAATCGTGAGGGATGAGAAATAATCGGTAATAATTAGGGGCTAATTTAAAAACTACAGTTTTTCCATTTTCTAAAATGATAAATATTTTTATATTCTGAAAATGCATTCAGTTTGGCATCCTCATTATTATATAACCATATTTCTGTTATAATACATTGGCATTTTTTATTTTGTCCTTCCTTACTAGGTATAGTTGTTTCATTACAAGCAAGTGCATGGTTTACAATTATTCCCGGTTTATTTGATGGAGTAATAGGTGGAGGACTTTTGTCAATACAAGCACAAGTTTCGGCGTCTCTTGTAGATGTTGTTAATAGAGAAAAACAAATTATTGGTGAAAGAAAGGAATCAGTGAATAATAAAGACAAGCACGAGAAGGAATTATGGGGCTTATTTACATGGTTCGATGGAATTTCACTAATAAGCTTATCCCTATCAAACCCGATTGGAGGTAGATGAATTATTTCAATAAAACACTTATATACAAATATGAAGTCACTTTCATAAAGTTATTCCATCTGTTATTATTAAAAGACATCATCCAGTGTCATATATAAAGCGTGACTGATAGTTTTGTCTGAATGAATAATTGTTATATATGTCCAAACCAAGTAAACTTTTAAAAGCTTGAAAAAATCTGGGTATTGGGTATATGATATTCATTATAGTGAAGGTTTTTTTGCATTTCCCAATGAATGAAAAACAAAACGATATTGTTTTTACTGACATTTCGCTATTCAATGCTAATAGCTTCATCAAAGTATTATTAAACCGGAGTTTACGAAATCTCAGCATATATATGACAAAGAGTTAAGAGGTGAGAAAATAAACTTAGGCCAAGTGAAAAGGACATATTGAAAGTCAGAATAACAATGAAGATCACTAAACCAAATAACAAAGGTAATAGTACATCTGTTATGATATCAAAACAAAGTTTACTAAGTTGATCATCGTTCGTCAGTCTGGGGTCATTTTTCGTTGTCAAGTCGGTCAATTGGTAAGGATAACAAAACCAGGTGTAGATTGTTGGATTTGATAATTGTGTAAAATTGTAAAAGCAGCGCGTGTTTACATAATGAAATCGCTAATCATATTCGTGTTGATTTTGTCACGGGGAGAGGTGTTGTAACCAGGTCAAATTCTGTTTAAGTCCATCATTCCTATTCAGACAGTTTGGATTCCACTTGATATGAAGTGCTTCTGATAATGTTAGACGTTCTTTGTGATTTCTGAAGTTTTTCTGGATTATTTCGATATTGTCAAAATCAATTTTGTGGCCTGAAACTTTTAAGCAAAACAACAGTCCAAGGAACTTTATCAACAAAATGAACACAGACATTAAGTATGGCCAAAAACGCACTCCGAAAACATGGACCTCAACAGTCGTCATTCCATATATAGTAGAGACGTCAGACGATATCAGAAGAGTACTCAATAAACTCGACATTAGAGTTTTCTTCAAAACATCAGACAAACTACGAAACAACCTTGTCCATATAAAAGACCAAACCCCTAAAAATTCTCTATCTAATTGTGTCTATAAAATAAAATGCTTGGAATGTGATGAGATATACATCGGACAAGCATCGCAAGAAATCAAGGTAATCAGAAGAAATGAACACTGTAGATCATCTGTTCGACTACCGATAAATCCAGTTGAACTAGAAAAGCTTGAAAAATCATCAGCCATGGCCTGTCTACATGCTATAGAATCAGGCCACAAAATTGATTTTGACAATATCGAAATAATCCAGAAAAACTTCAGAAATCACAAAGAACGTCTAACATTATCAGAAGCACTTCATATCAAGTGGAATCCAAACTGTCTGAATAGGAATGATGGACTTAAACAGAATTTGACCTGGTTACAACACCTCTCCCCGTGACAAAATCAACACGAATATGATTAGCGATTTCATTATGTAAACACGCGCTGCTTTTACAATTTTACACAATTATCAAATCCAACAATCTACACCTGGTTTTGTTATCCTTACCAATTGACCGACTTGACAACGAAAAATGACCCCAGACTGACGAACGATGATCAACTTAGTAAACTTTGTTTTGATATCATAACAGATGTACTATTACCTTTGTTATTTGGTTTAGTGATCTTCATTGTTATTCTGACTTTCAATATGTCCTTTTCACTTGGCCTAAGTTTATCTTCTCACCTCTTAACTCTTTGTCATATATATGCTGAGATTTCGTAAACTCCGGTTTAATAATACTTTGATGAAGCTATTAGCATTGAATAGCGAAATGTCAGTAAAAACAATATCGTTTTGTTTTTCATTCATTGGGAAATACAAGAAGACCTTTATTATAATAAATAATTGTTATGTGGTCAAAGAATCACAAGCAATTTCTACAACAAATCTAATATGATTAAAGATTATCGGCATATTACATTTTTGAGTTTGAACCTGGGATTGCAGTTTAAACTCAAGTTACAATTGTTAACATCAAATGCGTAGTTTTTACGCATGAAATTGTACCAAACGGTGACTTAATTGCTTCTTAGTAAAGTTTTTAATTTCAGTATGAAACGAAATTGGCTGCAGAGTGGAAAACATGAGCAACCTGAGGCTTGGACATTTATATCACTGCTGAAAACTAACATATACCAAGCCTAGGTTCAAAGTTCCATGTTTAATCGACTTGTTAACACACTATGGCGTTGTTACATTTCAGATTATGAAAAACAAACTGATTTCTTATGTGCATATGAATAAACAATTAAACGATAATTTTACATTTTATTACTGAATAAAATTCTGTCTAGTTTTCAATTTACATAGTAACATTTAAAGTAAGGTATTTTAAAAAATTCATTTGGTTGGAATGTTTCAAATATATTATTAGTACTAGTATCAGCATGCGGTAACGAGTCAACATTTGTTAATGAGAGTCTGAAAATTTTGTGCTAGTTTCAAAGTGTTCGGTGTATTTGTATAATTTATTGATTTCTCCTTTCAGAGAAACTGTATGCAACTGAACAAATATTTGTTTCGCGTCACTTATACGAGTCAGATAAGAGAATAACTTGGATGCATAGCTGATAATGCAGACATTATTTGTCCACATACAAATTCAACAATCTTTTTGAGTATTGATTCATCGTATTGCTTTGACTTATTATATAATAATCGCTTCACGAGCATTATCCCAATCTTACAAAATGAAGATATTTAGATCATCTTTAAAGATAATTTAGTCTATTTTGCAGTAAATGCAATCATCTCATAACTCAGAGAAATATGTCGAATAAAGTATAGTGCGCGCTAAAGAACCCATAATCTACACAGAGAATCGTAGGTGCATTACTAAGCAACATCATTTTCTGATGCTCCTACCTGTCAACCTTAGGTGACACAGGACTTTGGCAAAATAATAATACAAAGACGTAAATTACATGAGACGTATACCACACTTGCACATAACATTTCGCAAACGATACTAATATTTGCCGGTGAATTAAAAGAGTTGGTGACTGTCAAATGCCAACTAAACAACTAATCACCAAATACGTATCACAGAAAGCATTATTTCTTTTTCAGCAATGAAATCAGTGTCTTCACTGAATAATATATAGCAATACATATAAGAAATGAAACAATCCTTTGGTAAAACGCTGTGTGGCAGGAAACGTTAGTGTAGTCTTTCAAGTGCCACTGGTGTAGATGATCGATGATTCACAGGCAAGCTCTAAGAATGTATTGAATACCCGGTCAATTCCCTGTAAGTCATTTGAAGCAACAAAGATGCCTTGGAAAAACTCTTCATTACAACACTTACCATAGAAATCTTTGCTTACAATTTTCACAATATCATATCTTAATACTAAGTGAATACGATATCTGAAAACTAAAACAAAGCCTACCTTATTTTTACTTCTAGGTGCTCTCCTTTATCGAGATGGATTCCGATCGCCCATTATTGTCTGCAATTGTCTTGTTTCCATTAGTTTGATACTTATTTTTTTTCTTCCTGAATCTAACATCAGAATAAGTCAAAAACGTTCGAGTCAGAGTATGATGACCAGTGACATTAACTGCAAATCCAACTGTGAGCACGTTGAAGTTATTTTGCCAAACAGCAAAAAAATGGTATATTGGAAAATGAAGTATGCAAGTATTCGAGCCAACTTCAAAGCAAGTTATTCAAATTATTTTAATTAACCATTCCGTATGAAAAACACTATAACCATTGTTGCTTGTTTGAATAAAAACTACTTAGTCCAGCTAAAGATTGATGTTGAAATGTTTCGTTTTTATGCCAAGTTTGTGGACAGGGAATGAAGATAATTAAAAAGTAAATATACTCACATATTCGATGTCTGAACAAACATCCTAGAGTTTTAGAAAGTGACATGACACCAGCTAATCTATGGTATACACTACTCACACTATTCAAAACAGATTATAAGCAGATGGTAATTATGAATGCAGTGTTGAAAACAACTTGCTCTATGTACTTCATTTATAAGCTATCTTTTTATCAATACTGGGTAATGCATATATTATGCGTATTCTGAATACATTTTCGCCTTGGTTTGGAGGTTTGAAATTCCTTACACATATGTACACCATGTTATACTGATACACAGCTGAGCTTTAGAGCTTATCCACAGAAATTAGAACATTCTAAATTACCTAACAAACAAATAGAGGAGAAAATGCTCAACTTTCGGATCTTCAAATACACTTCAGGTGGTAAGCACACGCCAGTGATGAAGAATGGGTAGTCACTTGTCTTCAGGTGTTATATTTGTCACTGTAAAGAATACAGTTTTCATGTGAAATAACTCAGTAATCCTGTTTGTGTAATTTAGTGATTCTATAATTCCGAATTTATATAGCTTTTTGAAATGGTGAGCATCTCCCAAAAATAATATATTCCTTTTTCTCCCATGATAATAAATATAGGTCCTATGTGACGGGTACACACAACATATTTTGGTTTTAATTATTGTGTTCCTGTTATCTGTTGTAATATCAACTGATCTGTACATTGTATACATCTACTTAATGGGCTATCCTTATCTATGGAATTCACAAGATGTTGGGATTTATTCGTGAGTTTTTCCTGAAGATATAAATAAAACACGAATCATTCTTTTTTTTGATGATCACTGATTTCACGTGAATTACAAATAAATCAGCAACAGCCACAATGTACATAATGATGTACTGATCTTATAGTATTATTACTTTTTTCAGCAAAATTACAAGTATTTCTGGTTGTAACATACTTCACTATACAGTATTAAGGCCAAAAATATATTTTTCTGGAAACAAGAAATATTCACATCAACGTTGCTATTTCCACCTGAAATGGTTGGATTATTATTAAAGTTACTAGTAATAAAGTTACTAATTAAAAATATGTATCTTTCGGTTTTACTTTGTTGGTGATAATTAGGAGAAATCCTTCCTTTAGAGTTGGTTTTGAACTCCCTATTGTTAGGTAACACAAAAGGAAATGCCTACAAATTACATTCTCTTAATCCATAAGTTTGTATAAGCTAATGTAGGTTTAGTGAATGTTTAGGTTCACAGAGCTGGAGTATTCATATTCTCAGGATTCCCGCCTACATACTTGGTGTTTTGTTCATCTGAAAACAGAAGAGTAGTGGACTTATAACAGCAGCCATGCGGTAATCTGACTGTGTAACAGAAGAACATTTTAGTAAGTCCTGATAGTCAGGGATTAACACTCTCTTTCTGACCCTTTAGATGACAGAGTAATGAGCATAATTCAAACAAAAGAGGAAATTCCTGACAAAAATAATAACGTGCTTCTATTCTACATTAACTTACACGATATGCATTTAAGCATTTACATTAAATGAAACGACCTTTTTATTGCCTATTTCAGTGGTGTTACCGATGTGGTGTCTGCAATCGTTGCAATTGTTTTCACAGTTTCAGTAGCTAGAATAAAACGTGCAGTTGAATCAAAGTCAAACGACAAGGTGCTAGAAATATCAGTCGATGTGAAAAGTAACTACATTGATTCTGAGAAGAAGAAAACTAGTATCGTCAACTTACTATTAACAATACTCATTTGCAGTATATTCATGATATTGGTCAACAGATTTTTACTGGGTATATCACATATGTTTGTATCTTCCACAGCAAATATTTTAGTTTATGTGGGTGAGTATTTTTTGTTTCTTGACTTGCTTTCTACTTAACAAAGTGCAGCATTTTACTTATTATGGGTCTTTACTGTAGATGGTTAAAACATGAACTGATCTGTGTTTCAAGAGTCTTTGAGTCACTTTGATCTCTGATGTCATTGTATTACTACCAATATTTTACACATCTCCTGATACTTCATTTGTGTGGAATGTAATCATCAAAGTACCATCATCACCTTAATCAGCTTAATTGCCCTTTCTCTGCAGCTCATTTCACTACATGTTCCTATGGAAGTTGGCATAATCTGTTGGTATGTAGTGTGGAGTTTGTTTGTAGACTAGATCAAGTTTCACTACTATACTGCCATTTAAATACCATAGTTCAGACAGTTCAATGTTTTTTTCATAAGGCTATAAAGTTTCATTTCTTGTTTAATCTATCTTATTACATTTTCGGACAAATATGAGTTATTTTATTCATGTGTACTAGAAATTTGAGTGCTACTTAATTGTCTTTGCAAAAGACCATGTATGACGGAGGAAACGTCGTGTCGGGAACTGTATAAAGTGCTGAATTTTTTTTTGAATGAGGTAAGGCAGTACTTAAGACTAGTTGTCGTATTCATTATGCTGCGACTTGATGATAGTAATAAAAAGGAACACTTGTGTAGCTCAGCTTTCTTTTTAGTAATTACTATTATCTACTACTTTATTATTATTATTATCTACTTTTATTTGATGCAGTAAGTAGGATAATGGGTTTTCTTGTTTATTTTCAAATGTAGCTACGGTACCCAGAATGGCTAAAGGGTTAACTAGTCCCATATTACGAACACTAATATCAATGTGGACTGATCACGCGAAACAAGGCAAGTGCATTCTCCTACTGTTAACCTCTACTTTTCCCATAGAACTATAAAATCAGTTATTGCAGTACAGGCATACGCTAAGAACCTCTATTTTAACTAATAACACGTCTATACTAAGTACCAAAAACCAGAATACACTAATTTGTTAGCACTTAAACTGTTTCCATCAAAAACCATATAGTTAAATTCCTAATCCTGCTGATCACATGAGGTAATCTTGAATTATTTATGTATCGAAAATAATACAATTTATATTAGAAATTAATGTGTCATTGTTAAAGTTTCTTTCATATGAGAAAGCTTTTTGTGCATTAGTATAAGACAACTTCTAACATTATTTCCATAAATAGTAGTATTTGGCTTTATAAATTGCATCTCTAATCAAAAAACAAAGATTCGCATTTGCACCTATACAATAAATAACCTCTCATTCTTTTTGCGTCAAACAATCAATTTTTTTGATACAAATTTGTGCAGATACATGAAACTGAGTGATTTATTGACTCATGTCATAATATCATGAAACATAACTGCGTTACTTGGAAACTAGTCTGTGAAAGTGTTCGCCAACTGTTTTGTGTGCAGTACTGATAAATAATTTCTACTGTAACATAAACTGTTTCTTTTTTTAAACTTTCACTCGCTTTGTCATGTTTCACTTTTAAAACATTTTTTATATGCTCGAAGATTTATGTAGTTAATTATGATGTACTGCTATGTGCTGTGTTAGATACATTCGAGCAGTGTGGTAGAATATAATCCCATGATTAATTAAAAAAAAACATTTATCTGATACAACAGACATCAATATAATAAATTTTATTTATTTTGAGTAGAATCATAAACTCTGTTACGATTATAAGGAATAAGTGAATAGTATTGGATTACTGAGTGTTAAATCAAATAAAAACTACTCTTGACTGGACACTAGTCAGTAACTAGTGTGATGTGCGTATGTCTAGTCCTATCCTAGGTCCAGAATGAATTCTATCAGTCAAGTATGCAATGTGGCCACCATGCTAGCTAGATGGATTGCTATCAAGGTGCACTGTGAATTGTTGGTATTAGATCGTTGGAGGTAATCGTTAGGAAGCCTTGCTTGAGCTAGGTTTCGTGCTAGTTGGTACTCACCATTCAGCAAGGCGTATCTGCAACCTTGAAGGGACTCATGTCCCTTCTGAGATTCGATTGATAGAATTCCCAATACACTAGTTACTAACTAGTATCCAAATAAAAATACCCAATACAGTCCTACAGCAGGTCAATCGCGAGCGTGAATAGCTTAGTGGCAACGTCTGCAGCCCTGGGTGACGCGTCTTCGGTTTTCAGAAAGGACATGAGTTCCTTCAAGGTTGTAGATACGCCTTGCTGAATGGTGAGTACCAACTAGCACGAAACCTAGGTCAAGCAAGGCTTCCTGACGATTACATTCAACCATCCAATACCAAAAATTATTCTGTTATGGAATTATATTTCCTTCTAATTGTTCTGTGAAAACCTTCCCCGCCGTTTAGCAAATGACCTGTGGTCATTGGAGTACATTTTAAAATTCCTTTAATCTTTTTGAAGGTCCTGTAGCAGTTCTGATTTGAAAGATGTGCAGTGATTTCGTGGGAATATAAAGTGAATTTGATTTTGTTTGCTTTATTTTCATCTTGGTTTCATTAGGTTTGATGCATTCCTGTATTGCATTTGTTTCAAGACTGGGAATACTTGTTTGTTTTGGTGTACTGATATTCGTCTACTCGGCAACAACAAGTACACTGCCTGGCACGGTATTTTTTGTTTGCTGTGCTCTAATGGTTGCTGCATTGATAATAAATGGGTATGTTAACTGTAGAAATGTACTGTACGAAAATCAACGATATTTTGTTACAAACTCATGGTACCTACATTAAATGTACTCAGTTTCAGAAGTAGACTAACTTTATCGCTTAGTTTTGCTCAAAAGTTATTTAAGGACGTGTATTTACTACTCATCCAAGCATATCAGAAAGTTTCTGATAAAAAATACATTGAAGTGAAACATAAGAAATGTTTGATTTTCTGTATCCTTTGGTATTTTTGTAGGGGTTTCAATCAGCAGGCTTGGAGATATCTACAGCAATAACCAGAGTCTGATGATGATTCTTTTTATTCCTTCAAGTTCCCAGTGAGACATAAAGCTTCAAGCTAGAAGCTTGAGGTTTCTGTAGCAGTGTTTATTTTTACAGGATGGGGTTGCTAGTGTCGTGCCCAACCTTCCCTCTTTACCAGTCTTATTACTGGCTTACTGAGGCGAAGGAGTGAGTCGGCTGGGGACCGAACCCCGGACCGCATGCATGGTCGGTGAGCATCCTAACCTCTGTGCCACCGACGCAAAAAGGCGCTCCCATGTCGGGAGTCGAAGCCGGGCCGCCTGGGTGAAAGCCAGGAATCCTAACCGCTAGATGATGATATACCCATGACCAAATACCAGAGTTCAGAGGAAAGTAAGCCATTTCCACTGCAATCTTGATATGACAATTTTTTCTGTAATCCCCATTAAGTGAAATGTGTACACACTTTATATATACACTAAATAAACAAAATCAATGTCATTAAATGTATTTTCTATTAAGTGACTAACAAGTTCACAGTTTGTTATAAGTGCACAGTAAATAACACGATTTTCACTTATCAGTTAGGTATCTAGATGCATAGGCTCTTAGTTATCCACAAGAGTTTCTACCTTTAGCCAATTAGGCTTAAAAAGAAGAATTTCTGAATGAAAGAGTTCATAACATTCAAAATACCAGTTATTTTCTCAAAATTCGAGCATGCTTCAAGTAAAAAATGATGTTTTATTAAATTCAAATTGACTTTCAAGGAGATGATTAGTTAATTTAAAATTTGATCTTAGCTTGTAATCCTAATTTTCAGTAGACATCTGCGTCTATATATCTACAAATATAGTATTCCTTTTTTCTCGCATTAAGACACGGACGGCTTTTTGACAGAATATTAACTTCAATTTTGGATAAGTTTCCCATTGATGATGTTGCATTTAGCTCTTTTATGTAACCTTATCGTATGTACTTATAGGTTTTTGAATAGTGTCGAATATTACACATCCATATCTCCTGTATTACGTAAATACGATTGACGACTTTTGAACTCACATAAAAGAAAGGAAGGTGTTCAGAGAAGAGACTCTTTTCGGCGAATCCATTCACTGAGCTGTACAATCGCATATATATACAATTTGGTTTGTGTGTGTGTATATTAGATTTATAAAGTTTAGATAATTATGTTATATAAGTATTATTTGGCTTGGAAACAAACGTTAAGATAGAAAATAAAATAGAATTGTTTAAGTGAATTGGATGACGTAATACAATTGAGTAGAATTCAGAGTAGGTCAGGTTGGCAACAGTGTTAATGAGTGGTGGTTAAGATTAAATAAGGGTGGTGGTAGAGAATAATACAGTTGAAAATAAGTTAATCGGATGACGTAACATAGTTGACTAGAAATTGGACGTGGGTCAAGTTAGCAACATTGTTATTGAGGGTAGAGATTAAAAAAGGGTGGGGTAGAGAATAATATAAATGAAGATGTGAAATAATAAAATGCAAAAGACAAAATAATACAATTAGTAAAACTGAAATTAAGAAAGATTACGTCCATTGTAGATTTAATGAATGAACGAATTTCTTTTGTATGCAGAGTTCAGGATTTAGCAGATGAATTGCCATTGCTTCTGCGATGTGGAGAAGTTTGATCTGTACACTTTTAGCAAGATTGCCTTGTATTCTGTAGATAACTTTGAAGTTTATTTCTGGTTTGACTTAGTGTCCAGAGTCGATCAAATATTCAAGGATCGAGCTGCGGAGGCATCGGTTTTCTCCTTTATAAAACCATGAAGGTAAATGTTCGTTGACGCGTTTGGATGGCGAACGCTGAGTACAGCCGATATACCTGGCTCCACACGAGCAGGTGAATTGGTAGATGCACTTCATAGAATGCTTAGTATAATGCCTGAGCAAATACTCAATCAATATTATAAGAAAGAAGGAAAGAAAGAAATGAGTATAGAGAAATGAGTTACCAGAGTGACCATTGTTTTGAAACTACAGAATCTACAGAGGTTGAAATGCATGTCTATCGATTCAGTAAGAAGACACCTTGATGAAGTACTTTTCAATTTTTAATTTACACAACCTATACTGAACTCACCCATTCACATGTTTTATCTATTGTCCAGGTTGTTATTTTGTTCTGGCAGGAAAACTGGAGATCCCAATGACGTGTCTAATTAATCTGATGATATAGACTACATTTATTATTTCCAGTGATACAGAAACAAGTCATTTATCGGATATAAATGCCATCAGCTTGAATAAGACTCGCAGTGATAAAATGACGTTTGTCAGATGGTAATTGTCACAAACTTAATTCCATACTGATCAACTGCCTTTCGACGACACGTGTCAAGTATTCAACCTTATTTATGAAAAAGACACTTTAAAAATCTCTAGAATTTCCTTATTTTTGAGCATATTTCACATGTTTGTTTAAGAAAGTATGATACATTCAGTAAATCATTTGAAACACACTCATTTTTTTCTAGATATACTGCTAAAAAACTAATTTATCTTTTAATGCATTCCAATTGATTATGCTAAAAAAAGGTTAAAATGAAAAAGTTCCCTGTATTTTTTCACATTCTTAAAAAGATATTAATCAGTGCTTTATTGTGCTACATAAATAAGCTGATTATACCGATGATTTTGGCTTACTGATATCTATTAAATTGAAAAAAGTGTCAGTAATTAATCTGACACTAGGAATTAACATATGTTCATGTGAATAAAGCAAGAATAACAGTTTTTTTACAGAATAACATGGTACCATCATTTATTTCGCTGGATTCTCATCAGCTGCTTACAGTCTAAATGAATTAATAAGTTTATGTACAGAACAATTTTAACATACTTGTTAATTTCACATGATGTCAGTTGATAGGAGGTTCCGAACTCAGTAAACAGTGCTCGGAAAATTACGCTTATATAGTTTTTACACAGGTAGTTTAAGTTTAAACAAAGTAAATGTATGGATACAATGGTAAAGGAGTAACGCAATAAAGACGAGAGGTGAGTAAGATGGTGAGAAACCAGTAAAGTGGATACAAATATACTGAGTTCAACTAAAATCATAGAAACAAGGGACTAGCAAAATTACACTACATCAGAGGGGGCGAGGTTAAAACCAAAAATTGCGCAATCAAATGAAAGGGAAAATAAAGACACCCAGTTATCAGGGCAAGGAAAGACTGATAATTGTTTCTTTCTTAAAGCATAAGTTGGGTTTCGGGCGTTTGATAGAAATTGATTCGGCAAACTTGAAGATAATTCAGCTTTTCATTCTGCTGATAATTTTAAGGGATTTTGTGACTTCCACCTCATGACCCGTATCAAGGAGATGTCTGGCAATGGCACGATTGTAAGCATTTGTTCCCTTGAGACGTAAATGTTCAGAAAATCGGAGGTGTACCCTTCTTTCTGTTCTTCCAATGTAACCGCTCCCGCAGTTACATGTAAATTTGTATACACAGTTGCGGTTAACATGAGAAGGGTATCTGTCGACTTTTGACTGCAACAAAGAGCATGTTGTTCAATAGATGGGAACCAACTTATCTGCAGGATAGGTCCTACCTGGTGATTTCCTCAATCTTCTGTTGATAATTGCTGCAATATTTTCACCTTTAAAGTCAAGTTGAATGTAGATGGGGTTTTTTCCACTATGAATTACTTGACATCTGAGCTATTAGATCTACCCTACCTTTGGGGGTAACCGTTGCTTTTCAACGTCTTTTCGAAAAATATAAATTCTTCCTATAATTTCTCTGTAGAGCATAATCTCCTAGCTCTATAGTATAGAGTTTTGACTTATGCTTGTTTAAAGCTATTTGGTCAAAAACTATTAAAATGTAGATATTATCTAATTGATATCATTATAAAACTTGGGTACTGGGGTAGAGTATAACTCCATTATGGATTAGATTTTATTTTGATAATACTGTGTGATTTATTAAAGTAAAATCTTATCCATAATGGAGTAGATATTTTCTATTTGATGTAGGTATACTCATGTTTTATCTGCCCGCTTATCTTAAAGGTATATATATCATCATGATAAAAGTTATTTCAGTGGTATATATTTAACCATGTATATTACAAAATTTAAAAAACACATTTTATCTAAAGAACAGAGAACTGTCTTTTAATTCATTACAAGGGATAAATATTTTCCTAACTCCAAGATTCGTATTTAAGACCTCGTGTTAAGTTAGTTTATAAGACTCAACATTTCATCTTATCACGCAGAATATTTTTATTTTGACCTTCTCTCTTGTAACTATTGCTTCCGCAATCCTTGATAATGACTGTCGTTTCTACTCTCCAAGGTGCATTTCTTAATTTATGGTTTAAAGAAAGAGCTAATTGACGCTTGAGTAATGAATGCTACTGTTCACATTCTAAGTCCCCTAAAAGTTTCTACCATCATGTTTCGGAAGACAAAGCTTTGTTATTGAACGTCATTAGAAAATATAAACGAGCACAAAGTTTAAATCTTCTTCTACTAAGTGAAATGTGATTTGATGTAAACGCACAAGCTGCGGTTGGGCAAGCATTTAGGGAGCTATTTATTCAGAAACTGAAGTTCTAATTTGCGTTTCCTGAATGCATTTCTTATAAAACAAATTTTAAAAGAATTATCAATCAGCTAGTTGCATCTCTCTGTTTTCCACCATCAAATTAACTACAAGTAAGGATTGCACGGTAAACTACTGGCTGTCATATCCTATAATATCCTAATTAGCGTATTCTGAAGAGCGGGTTGATACGCTTTTGTTCAGACTTGATAATAGCCCAGTTT